CTGAACATGAAAATGGTGTCCGTAATTTATGCCCCTGAGGTCATCTCAGGTCACGAATGGTGTCTAACAGTTTTTTCGCAAATAACTTTTGATAGAGGCATGCTAGAGCGGTGAAAACGACTTAGATGTGCTCAGCTCGACGATACGGATCGACTGATATGCAACATGACCCTTTCCGGTCAGGTCATGACCTTGACCTGAGGTCAAATTTTCAAGTTGACCTTTCAAGTTCAAATTATAGTTCATTCGATGCGTCTTGACGAGAGGAACACGATGCCGGTAAAAGTAAGCTCGTACAAGGCTTGGGTCAAAAGCTATTGCAGAAAAACTGTTTCCGAAAAAAATCGGCTATTTTTGCAGTTTTTGCCCCCTGCAGGCAAAACCGTTGACGTTAGGTCAAATCTGAGGGAATTACCCAGAAAGGGCGTTAATAGGGCTATCGAATGCGCTTTTCCGCGGCGCTGTAGCTTTATTGGTTCCCGAGTTATGCGTTGGCTTCCTGGAAATTGTCGACATTCGACCTGAAAATCGGCGAAGTTTTGGGAGCCGGCGGGGCGCTGTAACCGCCGCGCCAGGGAGCACAGGCTCTGAGCGGCACCGGCGGTTCGTATGGGTACATGTGGTTCATGTTATGCATGTGAGCTTGTAAGTGATCTTAACCCGCGCCCTGCTGGGGGGGGGGTGTTTGAACACCCCCCCTTGTGGTTTTTCGCGAATATCTCAAAAACGGCGGCGCGGAGCGCCGCCGTTTTTGGTACACCTTATCATACATCAATTCTACACAAGTTGTGAAAATTTCAGACCAAGGTCATTCAAGGTCAGGTCACCAGGTCACTTGAAGTGACCTCACCTCATAAAAAGTTTCAATGTCTGTCATAGCTACACCGAGAGACCGATCGCTTTGAAACTTTCAGCGATTGCTAAGAGTAATAGCATGTACAAAATGTATATCTCAGAATTTTGATATCGATGACCTAAGGTCAGGTCAATTTTGCGACCTCCCCATTATAAGTCAATGGGAGAAAATTGAAATGCGCCTCTTTTGGACGAAAGACATTATAAACACTCCCAAACACTGAATTACAAGTCGTTTAGACACACTGAACATGAAAATGGTGTCCGTGACCCCTGTTTATGCCCTGAGGTCATCTTAGGTCACGAATGGTATTTAACAGTTTTTCGCAAATAACTTTTGATAGAGGCATGCTAGAGCGATGAAAACGCCTTAGATGTGTTCAGCTCGACGATACGGATCGACTGATATGCAACATGACCCTTTCCGGTCAGGTCATGACCTTGACCTGAGGTCAAATTTTCAAGTTGACCTTTCAAGGTCAAGTTATAGTTCATTCGATGCGTCTTGACGAGAGGAACACGATGCCGGTAAAAGTAAGCTCGTACAAGACTTGGGTCAAAAGTTATTGCAGAAAAACTGTTTCCGAAAAAATCGGCTATTTTTGCAGTTTTTACCCCCTGCAGGCAAAACCGTTGACGTTAGGTCAAATTTGAGAAAATTACTCAGAAAGGGCGTTAATAGGGCTATCGAATGCGCTTTTCCGTGGCGCTGTAGCTCTATTGGTTCCCAAGTTATGCGTTGGCTTCTTGGAAATTGTTGACATTCGACCTGGAAATCGGCGAAATTTTGCCTTCAATGACCTCTGGTGACCTGACCTTTGACCTGACCAAAAAATTGACCGAAGTGATTTCCTCATTATTTTTGACGCTCTTTCGAACGCCGCCTTCCGCGTATCGCTACGTGGCCCAGGAGCCGAGTTAGAAGGGGGGGGTGTTCAAACACCCCCCCCCCCCAGCAGGGCGTGGAAATCCAGGACCCCCAGCCGGGCGCGGGTTAACCCTCGCCCGCACATGCCATTTTCCCATCCTAGAACGCACATGGGGGGGGGGGTGGTTGCCACCCCCCCCCGCACCATTTCGTTCCTGTTGGAGATAGAGCTTAGCGGTAAAGACCAAAAAGATTCTTTGGGAAGAGACAAATCCAATGATACCCAGTTTTACCTTCTCAGGTCAGTCATTGACCTTCCAGGTCAGGTCAAACTAAAAAATGTTGCTGTTTTGGGTCACCGTTGAATATCAAGTGCGCTGCTTAGCATATACCGATGACGATGCCGTTTTCTGGTGCCAAGCCAGCTAGAACCTCTTTGTCACACTACCCGACCAGGTTTTTGCTGCTGAGGTCATTTCAGGTCAAGTTAGGTCAAGGTCAATTATATGTGTTTGTATGTCTGTGTGTGTCTGTGTGTATACTGATGTGTGCACCGATTGGTTGTGTCCATATTACATGAAATAATGATCTGAGAAGCTTTTACCAAAAATGCAGTCAAAAAAACTTCACAAAAAGTAAATTCCGCTTGCCTAAAACGCAATTATCTTAGATAACCTAGGTTGACCTTGACCTTGACATCTGTACATCGTCGAACAACATGTTCCATGATAGGTGGGAGGTAAGACTGGCAAAAAAGGCCGAAGTCAAGGTGTCAAAAGCTCACAAGGCCCATAGCCAACGCAAGATGTTGAGAATTGGCCATTTGGGTCATGACATGACCTGGAAAACAAGGTCATATCTCCGAAACCAAAAACCACAGAAACTTGAAATTTTCAGTGGACATCAAGAAAGGATAGAGGAGCAGCTATACGAAAAATCAGCCTTCTAGCTCTAAAAATGTTGAGTGCAGAGCAGAAAGACTACCTGGGGGGTGGCAACCCCCCCCCCCCCATGTGCGGGCGAGGGTTAAAATATAAGCCTGCGAGTACCAGAAAAAAAGTTTTGCCTTCAATGACCTCTGGTGACCTGACCTTTGACCTGACCAAAAAAGTGACCGAAGTGATTTCGTCATTATTTTTGGCGCTCTTTCGAACGCCGCCTTCCGCGTATCGCTACGTGGCCCAGGAGCCGAGTTAGAAGAGGGGGTGTTCAAACACCCCCCCCCCCCCAGCAGGGCGTGGAAATCCAGGACCCCCAGCCGGGCGCGGGTTAAGAGGGGGCACTGCCGACTTTTGGTCCCATTCTTTCCATGCAACGCCCATAGGGCTAATTAAAATGTCAAAATCAAAGGGGGCACGGTGCCCCGGTGCCCTCCCCGTTCCGCCGCCTATGTTGCTGACGGTTCCATGACAACTGAACCAGTGACAACTGAACCAGGACAACTAAACCAGGGACAACTGAACCAGTGACAGCTGAACCAGGGACAACTGAACCAGTGACAACTGAACCAGGGACAACTGAAACAGTGACAACTGAACCAGGGACAACTGAACCAGTGACAACTGAACCAGTGACAACTGAACCAGTGGACAACTGAACCAGTGGACAACTGAACCAGTGGACAACTGAACCAGTAGACAACTGAACCAGTGACAACTGAACCAGTGACAACTGAACCAGTGACAACTGAACCTGTATGACAACTGAACCAGTGACAACTGAACCAGTGACAACTGAACCAGTGGACAACTGAACCAGTGACAACTGAACCAGTGACAACTGAACCACTAACCAGTAGCCCAGCAAGCAATTTTACTCCGGGCCTAAGCAGGCTGAAGTGCGGCTTGCCCGATATTTTTAGTCGGGCTAAAGTCGGCTAGCGCTTGGACTAAAGTCGGCAAGTGCTTGGGCTAAAGACTAAAGTCGGCGTATGACACAAAAACGCCGACTAAAGCCAATGCTCTGCCGGAGGCAGTGTCCCAAAATTTGTAGATGTGGGTGGGAAACGACATCCAAATGCAAATCATTTTCCACTCTCACCTCCAGTTTTCAAGCCCAATTTTCCACTCCCAATTCCACTGAGAAGGAGCAGTTGCGGGAATGGTTGTATTACATCTGTCACAATTGTAGATAGATTAATGTTTTTGATCATTTTCCCACTCTTTTTGGGCCTTACCTGACCGACAATTTTTCACTCTCATCTTTTTTTTTGGTCAGCAATTTTCCCTTCTGACACCCAAGCAAAAATATGATTTTGGTACACTGGCCGGAGGTATATGCCCTCTCGGCGAGCTCAGGACAGCCGTTGTTTAGCCCTAGTTGTGCGACGTTTGGCGTAAGCCCGATGTAAGCCCGAGCAGTGAATCCATTTATATACCGGAGATTCCTCTGGGCCCAGGCGGGCTGAACTCTGCCAAGCCCACGTTGCGTGCCCTGTCTGTCCCGATTTAGGTCATCAAAGTGAATATTATTTATACGTTGTTAACTATTCGGGCGTCCCAAGTGGGCGGAACGGTTACCACACCAGTTCGCGACCACCAGGCTCTGTCAGCCCTGTCAGCCGTCGTACGGCTCTCGGACGGACACTCTAATAGATCGGACACAGATCAATTGGCAGACCGGCAGATTGGCACAGACCGTCCGTCCAGCCACGCGCTACCTTATACCTATACAGCGCAGGCCGCAGTACGATATTAGTTGTTTCTGGTTCAGTTGTCCACTGGTTCAGTCGTCCACTAGTTCAGTTGCCATACTGGTTCAGTTGTCACTGGTTCAGTTGTCACTGGTTCAGTTGTCCACTGGTTCAGTTGTCACTGGTTCAGTTGTCACTGGTTCAGTTGTTTACTGGTTCAGTTGTCACTGGTTCAGTTGTCACTGGTTCAGTTGTCATACTGGTTCAGTTGTCATACTGGTTCAGTTGTCACTGGTTCAGTTGTCACTGGTTCAGTTGTCACTGGTTCAGTTGTCCACTGGTTCAGTTGTCCACTGGTTCAGTTGTCACTGGTTCAGTTGTCCCTGGTTCAGTTGTCACTGGTTCAGTTGTCGCTGGTTCAGTTGTCACTGGTTCAGTTGTCGCTGGCTCAGTTGTCACTGGCTCAGTTGTCACTGGTTCAGTTATCACTGGTTTAGTTTTACTGGTTCAGTTGTCCCTGGTTCAGTTGTCACTGGTTCAGTTGTCTGCCTACCGTTGCTGACCCTATGCAAGTCTTCACGGACATAGATAGCAGTCGAATAGTGATGTAGCATTTCATTAGGGAATTCCTTAAACCCGAACCTTGACATGCATGTTTTATACGAATCTGACGCGAATCATTTGGACTCAGTTTCAAGCAAGATTTCAAGTAAGAAATTATATAGTCTAGGCGCCGTAATTACGATTTATATCATCAGAAAGTGTGTGTCTTGCTCATAGATATACAGACGTCTTGCTGTTGGTCTTCTGATGTGTGATTTTCTAAAGTTTGTGGATTTTGTTTTTAAATTAGGGCTCACTATGATTAGAGTGCCTCACACAACATTCTCACCAGCATAATTTCCTATTTTTCATTATGTTGATTGTTGCATGACAATTTTTTAATTTGCCTGTTTGATTTAAATTGGGCTAAAATAGTTACTTAAGCCCCAAATATTGGGGGGGCGGTCCCGTAGCCCGGTAGAGCGTTGGACTCTGTGTGGTGAGAGCACACGTTCCATCCTGGTTACAATAGTCCGGGCTCTAAGCATGACAGGCGCTTGACATTTATGGGCCTCCTGACAGGTATGGTTATGGATGCGGTTGGTGGCAGGCCATAGCCAGGCGAAGTCAGTGAGGGGACCGGCCGTATGAAGCTATGTTTACACGTTAAACTTTGGGCTCTAAATTCTGCCATAGAACTGGAATTGCGCGATTGCAAACAATGCAACGGGCTCCGCTTAGTGGTGGCTCTGTCCTTGTGAATCCTTCCAATCAAAAGGTTCGAACTAAATTTATAAAACAAAAATATTGGATCCCCGGCCCATTCCCCTCTTCAAATATAAATATTAGGGGTCATTATGCAATTCAACTTATGAGTGACATCAGTAAAGACTACATAATTTTATAACTACATAGAACTACACCATCTTAATAAAGATTAAATAGTGTTTGGTGCCCATGCCTTAAAGTGACCATCCCACCTTAACATTAGTTTTGAGTTGAGATAGCCAAATTGGTGGCCATGGCCTGCAAATACCGGTTTGGGCACTCACAACATCGAAAAATGCTTTAATTCGGAGATATGGAATTTCAAACTTGCAGTTTTCAGATTCTAAGGGGCTAATGCATTGAGATGCCCCCTTAGAATTTGTGACGTCAGCGGTGATCTAACGATTTTAAAACCTTATACTAACATCTTTGTAAAGCAGTGGTGGTATATGCTATTTGCGCGCAACATCTGCCGCGAACGCCGCACCTCCAAAATGAAGTCGCTAGGAACAGCGGAGATCCCAAAAATGTAAACAAAAGTAAAAGTCTAATATCTTGAAAACCGGTGAATATTTTTCGGTGAGATTTGGTAGATATTCGTTTTTGCTCTTTCTGAACCGAGCGACATCACTCTCATGCCAATTCATTAAATTTTTTGAAGGTGGGAGGGTCCCTTTAAAGTGTCATTTTTAACATAAAATCTTATTTTGATACACAGATAACAGTAGTACTACTGTTATCTGTGGTTGATATAATGAGTATTTTGAGACAGGATTAGGAAGGCAAATAATTAGTCATTCCGGTGTCTTGGAGCATAATGGTGAAATAAGATAAGGGTGTGCCTGGTGCCATTTATATTTTACTATTTTTGCGAGGTACCTACCTGATTTTACACATGGCACAGTTGATCCCACAGCTGCTATTTCCATTTTCTTGAGCATCTGTAAAAGTAAAGCAGACAGCTTAGCATGGGAAGTCTTTCACTTCCTTTTCAACTCTGGCACATTTAGATGTGGACTGCGGAGTTGCGGACTCACTCTATTGAAGTAGCTCCAATCTAATGACTTATTCCTGATAATGTTCCTGCTCTGATCGACAGTTGGTAGACAGCTCAGAACACCATGGCTGAGGCGTCGGGTGTGGCAACTACAGATACACAGTACTTCTGCCACATCTGCAACAAGGACATCACCCCAGTGGTGCCGGTAAGGGCCGCTCTTAGATCTGACCGTCAAACTTCAGCCTACTTTTGCTGTGTGCCGCGGAATCGAGACAATCCCTGGAACGGGTTGGGTTAAATAATTGATATAGCTATGTGCTGATATTACAAACTGGACAGTCTGTGTAGAAAATTATTCATTAGTCTGTATCAGCTTTTTGCCTATCAAAATCGATGTGTTCTTAGGTACTTGTTTGATGTTCAAAGGCTGGTGTTTTGTGATCTTTGTCCCTTGAGGAGTGCTATCTTGCGAATCTGTCGCTCTTCGATTGCTCAGTTTGGGTGGGCGCGACGAACTGACAAGCTTTCCTCCTGCTCGAATTGACATACTTTCCTCCCTCTTGAGCTGACAGACTTTCCCTCCTCTCGAGCTGACTGACTTTTCTTCCTCTCAAGTCTCGAACTTGATCAGACGATCGACGACCATCTCACGAGACGCGTTTACGGGCGTATCTATGGGCATAAGCTGAATAATGAACATATTACATGACGGTGACTCTGGGCCTGAACGGAACCCGACCCTGACCGTGACCGGACCTGAGCTGATAATAAATGAACCGTGACTTGGCCGTGACCTGACCATTAACGTTACCGTCGCCTTGACCCGACCGTTATTGTGACCTGTCCATTGCTTGATCTAGATCTGACCATGATAGTTAGATCTAGATTCTAGATCTAGACCGTTATCGTGACTAAACCGTGACCTGGCAGCTACCGTATTCTGACGGTTACCGCAACCGGAACGTTAATACTTGAGCCTCATCGGCATCGTTGCCGTGACATGACCGTCACCGTAACCATACCGTTACAAGGGTTGTGTCCTGGATGTAACCTAACCATGACATGACTGTGACCCCGGCAGGAGTACACCTGTCCCGACTGCCAGGGCGGCTTCATAGAGCAGCGAGACACGGAGGATGGCGGCTCGGCGGCGGCGGCCGACGACCCGGAGGATGAGCTGCCGCCGCTGAACGACCCGGCCATGCACGCCTTCTCACAGGTGAGCACTCGATGCCCCCCCCCCCCTCCCCCACCCCACCTACCCCCGCTGGACGACCCCGCCATTCACGCTTTTTCACAAGTTCGCAGACTTATCAGCATCCGTGACATCAGCTGCTTGTGCTCTTCACACATCGTATCTGACGTGGTTTTGCTTATTGATATAAGGGAGAGCTGCTCAAATGAGTTATTTAGCTGTTCCCCGTTCAGTACCTACATGTTTTTCTGCGTTGTTTTGTGTCTGTAGGCATTTTAGATATGAAAGATATGTAATTCACATTTGGTTTCAGTCGTTTTTTTAACGTGTTTTTTTTTCTGGTCAATAGGTGTATAATTGTTGTAATTGCTGCAATATATTGAAATTGAAATAACAAAACAGTAATTGAACTAATAGCAGCGCTGTTCCTACACCACTGGTGCCAGTCCCGCTCCTATAATTCTGACAGCGCCTTGTCGGCACTGTTTCAGCTGCTGAATATCGTTCCGCTGTCGTTCAACTCACCTCTGGTGATCGGAGGGAGGAACACGGGCCGGGGAGCCCCCGGGTAAGTACCGGAGCGTACATGTTTGGCTTAGGGTAATGACCGCCGCGTCACTAACTACTGTTGATTTAGCGACCGGTTCATTCCTAGGCTGGTGATCAAATATCTGGGCAGGGCGAGGAGGGAGGAGGATAGCTGTACAGCTGTGAATGAAAACTGACTGAGTCATTCGTTTGGATGAGAGTCGAGTCATTGCTGATGTGGCAGCGTTCCACTGCTATGGTGGCCTCTGGGACTTGGTCAATGTATCTATTCTATATTTATCCATCTATCTATCTATCTATCTATCTATCTATCTATCTATTTATCTATCTATCTATCTATCTATCTTCTATCTATCTATTTGTCTATCTAATCTAGGTATCTAATGTACATACTTTTCGCTGAGTCAACCCAGCTGGTGTTGCAGTTTTATCTAGCCAGCTGTATGTTGCCTCTGTGTTTTAGTTTGAAATGCTCAAAACACTGATTTACGTCACTGAGTTGCCGAAATTGCGCTTTCTTTTCACTTCTAAAGCAAGAAAAAACTTTTCACTTTGACAGAGGCAATTTTCCATGCTCGCGAAGGGAGATCAGATGTCAGTCCTGACAGTAATACCTTGCTTTATTTAGTACATGTGCAAAGAAGTACTTAGTCCGTCTCAGCACTCAGTCCCCATCCCTCTCCCCACTACAGAGGAGCGGCGAACGGCAGCCAGCAGCAGCAGCTGCCCCAGGCCGGCGGCTTTGTGGAGCTGCTCGACAATCTGTTCGCCAACTTCCACAACGTGCGAGTCAATGTGGACACGGGCGGCCAGGTGCCCATGTGAGTGCGTTAGGCGGGTCTGGGTGGGGATGTACTGAGCGGAATGCGCTATGGACGGCTTGTGTTGTGTGGGGGACGGGGATTGTAACGCGGACTATTTCATTTGCGGCTGGATGATTGTTTAGCGAAAGTCCGTTCTTGTTACCCTTTGTAGTTTTTGTTCATTTTTTCGCTGACTGTAAATTTAGAACGTATCCAAAATGTGTGAGGTGGACTTTCCACTCGCATATACGAGTATGATATATTCCATATAGTTTGGCGTATTTGTATCATCTCTGCGGCTATCTGCAGCTCCCCACTCTTCCTTCCACACATAAACACACACATACACATAAACATCCGTTATATCCCCCCCCCCCCTCACCGGCAGCCACTTCCGACTGCACGGCAACCCTGGCGACTACGCCTGGGGCAACGCCGAGCTGGACAGGATCGTGACGCAGCTATTGAACCAGCTGGACTCGAGCGGGCCGCCGCCGCTGGGCCAGGCGCTCATCCAGAGGCTGCCCACCGTCACCATTACCCAGGCCAGTGTCGGTCAGTATCAGTTTTGGAATAGTCATTTAGGGTCCTGGTCCCGGAGAATAAAATCTATCCGGAGAACAGGCCAGCTTTTCGAACAGCCCATAGCAAAACCATAGGTTCGGCCTACTAAATGTGATAAATAATAAGACCTGTGACTCTCGATGCCATTACTGCATATTTTAGGTGCAATAAAAGCAGTTTTTCGTCGCACAGGCGGGAAAATCTTCATGATTCCAGGTGCCGGAGCATAAATTTGTAAGGGAGAACAAAATATTTTGGACGCGACTGGGACCAGAAAAGGGTCTTATTTCCAACATTGGTCAGTATTGGATAGTTTGGTCAGTGTAGCAGGGTCACCATTACCTAGGGCAGTGTCGGTCAGTATGGCATGGTTACACGCAAGCCAGTGTCGGTCAGTATGGCAGGATCTCAGTATCAGTTTGTGTAGCGGGTCTTTGCATCACAGTATTCACAAAGGCCACTGTGTCGGCCAGTAGAACACGGTAACAGTATCACATAGGCCAGTGTCGGTCAGTATTGCACGGTCACATATGCACGGTCAGTATATCACAGTACGGACACAGGCCAGCTTGGGGTCAGTCACACCCAGGCCAGCTCGGTCAGTAAAAGTCGGGACAGGAAGGTTGTTTGCCACGCATGGAACGGACTGACTCCGGAATTTGTTTATTTATTTATTTACTCTTTGACGTGTTACATGGCCTTAATTCGGGTCGTTCGGGGGGAAGGGGCTCAACAGTTGCTCAATAATCAAAATTCAATACAGATAGCGAGGTACGGTATTTCTGGGACGTTTCCAAAAACATTTGACTTTGAAACGACATATTTTTGTATTCATCATAGTCCCTATTACGTTCAGGCACGCCTGTCAAGTCGAGCTTATCCAGTGAAACCGTCACAGGAGACATTCTCCGCTGGGCCAGGCGCTGGAAGACGGCGCTGGAAGACCTTTCACGCGCTGTTGTTTGGAACAGGATCCCGGTTGTAGCCACAAACTGATGTGGGGTCTTGTGTTATCGTGTTTTGAATGGACTGTTGTGGCTATGACTGGACTATGAACTTTCGACGTCAAATTTTCCGATTTGAACGACACGTTTCGGTCAACAACGATCGGTGATTGTGTCGACTTGTCCTTAACTTTAACCCGCGCATGACTGGGGGGGGGGGGGCTCTACAGAGCCCCCCCCCTCATGTTTTTCAGCAATATCTTCTAAACCGTTTGACGGATCAACACGAAACTTGCGGTACCCTCAGAGGCATCAATTTGACACCTTGTGTTAAAATTTCCACTTTCTAGCTACCATAGTTAAGCCGGGAATGACGTCAGAGTGACGTCATGTCGGCCGATTTTCATGCAAAATACTGAAATACGGCAAACGCTCTCAAGAGCTCAGTTTTAAAGCTAGATCCATTTTCTTTGCATGAGTGGACTACAAATACATGTAGCTATCGAACTGCTATCTCGAATTTTCGAAATTTTGAAAGTTTTGAAAAATACTTATTTACAATTACAAAAATATATTTTTTGATTTTTTTTCTCAAAAAGTTTTTGACTTTTCGCAAAAACCGGAATATATGTGATAGAACACACACTGATGAAATACATTTGCAAGTTTTAGCCCAATATCTTCAAAAATAGCCAAGTTATTCGCATTATTGTCAAAATTTTACAATTTTATGTTTTTTTTTAAATCCATTTTTCAGTACGTTTTTGACGTCGTACAGCAATATAAATGGCACCATCGTGTTCCTGAGCTCAAACTGCATCTGATAGGCACCTTTTTTGTTGAAAAATTTCATTTTCAAAATTTGACTTTTTCTGACCTGAAAGTGACCTGACCTCCGGTAAATTCAGCTGACAATGACCTCAAATGACACAGACGACACTATTTTCGAAATCTACGAGTAAAATGGACCATAAAACATGCGTCACGTGACCGATACATGATATACAATTTTCGTGACCTAGGATGACCTGGCCTTGACCTTAAAAATTTGAAGTAAAAGTTCGGTACCCTCAGGGTATCTAAGGCATCCGTCAAGGAGTGCGTAAACCAAAAATGAGCTTGATCGGACCGGCGGTCCGGCGGACAGAGCCTAAATTGTGTACTAACAAAAATGTCGATAATTTTTACTTTGACCTGACCTGTGACGTCATCGGTGACCTCGAGGTCAATGAAAATAGGTTTCGCTTGACAGTTTTTCCAGGGCTATCAGACGCCGTTTGAATTTTGACGATCGGCCCAGTAGTTTCGGAGATAGGAGGGGGGGCTCTGGAGAGCCCCCCCCCCCCCCAGTCACTCGCGTTATGGAAAATACCCCAGTCATGCGCGGGTTAAAGAGCTGTCATTTATATGATGTTATTATTTACTGTCACAAGACCCCAAAAATTTCGTGCTATCAACAAAAAGGTAATGGCTCGATGAGACGATGTGTTCACTTTTGCTGCAATTTTTTTGCAAGGCTGTCGCTGCCTAAGTGAAAATACCCACCTGCGTCGTAATATATCTTTAGAGTAATGTGGCCTTTGTGTGCTTTTTACCAGAACGTACGAACAACCATCTATCACAACAACCACTGCCGGGCCCTTTTCATCCACTGATGATTCGCCTGCTTTCAGACGCCAACCTGCAGTGCATGGTGTGCTTTGAGGACTACAAGCTCGACGAGAAGGTGCGGGAGCTGCCCTGTTCACATCTCTACCACAGCATCTGCATAGTGCCCTGGCTAGAACTGGTGAGTCCGTGCATCTGCATAGTGCCCTGGCTAGAACTGGTGAGTCCGTGCATCTGCATAGTGCCCTGGCTAGAACTGGTGAGTCCGTGCATCTGCATAGTTCCCTGGCTAGAGCTGGTGAGTTCGTGCCTTTTCTGAAGAACAGTACCTTAGTAAGTGTGTGTGGGAGCCGTGATGGTGATTACTGAAGTGTGATTGGTTGGCTGTAGTGGCCATTGAGCCTTCGGGACTAGGTGGCGAGATGTTGGGGTGCGATACTCTGAGTGGGGCATCATACACTGGGGTATGATGCCTCAATGCCTCATAACTGGGTTATGATGCCCCATACACTGGGGTATGATGCCCCGCTGGCTAGCGGGCCACACTGCTGCCGTCCAAAGGCAAAACCGCATATGTCGGGTCAGGTCATGACCCGACATATGCGTTTTTGCCTTTGGACGGCAGACTGCACGTCAGTCACTAAGTACGCTTCACTCTGACACCAGCTGATGGCATGACCTTCCCGATTTGGGGGTGAGTCTGGTTATATAACTCAGTTATATAACTCATTGACAGCGAGTGCAGGTGCAGTTTTGACCAGGGGAAGCTCTGACTAAACGCCAGATTGTGATAAAGCTGTAAAGAAGTGTGCACTCAAATCGCGTATGAGCTACTCTAGCTGGTATGCCATCAGAGCACACATTAAAAGTAGCTAGCATGATAAGACTGCGGCTGCATAGTTCGTAGCGAGGTCAGCTCCGTAACCGACTGCCATGCTGATATCAAACAGTAGGTAGATAACAGTTGCAGAAAGAGCTTGGTAACGGGGGATTGAGAGGAAAATTGTATTTCATCTTCAACTTTTATTCGGAAGCTACTACTATATTTGAGGGGGATGATGCTACGCTTTTGACCAAAGCATGAGGTTGGTTGATATTTTGGCGTGTAGCCGATGGTTTAAGGCGAGTGTCCGATGGTCCATACTCCATAACCCTGTCAGAATACACACTATTATCATTATGACGTGCGGGCATTTGATCATGATTGGTTCGTATCAGCATGACTTGGATGAATAAGGGAACTTTGCGTTTTAGCCTTTATTGTCAGTGCGCCTCACACGACTATCGACCGCCTGATCTCTTAATTGTCACCACTCATCGCGAATTGCCCAGTGTCCAGACTTCTCTACACGTATCTCGCCCCAGCCCTGAGAACACTTCCCTCCGTCCGCAGCACGGCACGTGTCCTGTGTGTCGCAGCAACGTGGACCCATCGGCGGCACCTCAGAAACCGCCGCCGGCCGCCCGGCCGCCCGAGCCGGGGCCGTCCAGTCGACCAGGTCAGTCGCGCTGGGAACCCATGTAGGTGGCGCTACGAGCTCCGGCCGCTGGGGTCGGACGGCTTGTCACGGTGGTTGATTCTTTCATTTGTTTCGATGTCATTTTATGATCATCTGCTGGTTGTGCTGTTTTAGTCATCATCGACGTTTTTCCCCTTGATTTTTTATAAGCAGTTGGATTTTTGCTCATATTGCTCATATGTGGCTCAATAGATTGGCGTTATGTTATGCAGGCGACAACATTGTTCAAGGGACGAAGTCATAGCTGATGGTACGACCTAGGATATCAAATTTCTTGCATTGTCCCTCAGTGAGCTGAACGTTTGTTTCTGAGTGCAGATGGTCTTATACCGGGGGAAGTGAAATGGAGCGAATTGGAAAGCCGCAGCAACTTAGTGGCCTTGCAACTTCAACCATCATAGCTTGGAACGAAGCATGCAATATCTCCAAGATGCGAGTTCCTTCCTCGAGGTTAATTATGCCCCGGCGGCCATCCACAGATCAGCCGTGAGACCGCGCTAATATGAAGCCATGCAGAGAGAGAGTCGTCAATGACTGGTCGCGCCTGTGATACCGCGCCGCCGCCGCCGCCGCCGCCGCCTTCCCCGTTCATCCAGCCCCTCTGGAGGTCAGGTGGAGTCCCTCTGGAGGTCGGGGGAGTCCCTCTGGAGGTCAGGTGGAGTCCCTCTGGAGGTCGGGGGAGTCCCTCTGGAGGTCGGGTGGAGTCCCTCTGGAGGACGGGTGGAGCCCTCTGGAGGTCGGGGGAGTCCCTCTGGAGGACGGGTGGAGCCCTCTGGAGGTCGGGGGAGCCCCTCTGGAGGTCGAGCGGGGTCGGGGTGGCGGTCAGAGGCAGCTGGCAGCACCAGCCTCCCCCGGCAGGGCGGCGCGGCCGGGGCCTTAACGCTTGCTGTGTGCGTGTGTGTGCGTATCTAAGAGTATGTAGCATGAGTGTGTGTGTGCGTTTGCGGTGTATTAAAAGTCCTGGATAGTACCGATGTTCAGTACGGTTGGCTTCCCTGTTGAAGAACATTCTGGTCTTGCAATCAGCAGCAGTGAAAATGATTCGGACCTTGACGAACGAGTGCAGCGACTCGCGCCTGGATTCAGGGACTATCCAGCTGCTCTGCGGCGGCGGTGTTCGTCTCTGTCGAGCTCGCAGCTCAGTCCAGCCCGGAGGACAGTTCAGGGAACTGGGGTGGCACGCAGGGAGGGCAGGGCGCCCGGGGGTTGTCCTGGATGTGTGTCTGAACTGAGCGCGGCACTTTTAACGGCGACCGCTCGGTTCGGCTGGCGTCGCGGAGTGGAGATATAATCAATCAGTATGTGATGCAGCAGTTCACCGCCACGCTATTCGGCTATTCGCTGCTTAGTCGCGCCATAGTCGCCCGGTGTCTGATTTGTATTATGCGATGCAGAAAGTCTGTTTCTTGCGGTGATTTTGTTCAGTGCTGCTTTATTTACATGTTAATGGTGATATACTTGGTGAGTTTGATCGCCAAAATTGGCCGCTGCAGCGCTGGGTCGTGTCATGGAAACAAGTTATCTTACCGACAATGGTGCCCGAATAAATAAATCGGTGTTAGACGAGAGGAATCAACATAGATGAGATATCGGTGTCTCACAAGTCACAAGGTTCAGTGGCGACGCAGAGTGGCAAATAAAACGACTTTGGGAGCGATCGAACCAGTCGGCATTTTACTATGATGACCGTGCTAGACGAGTGCCGAACGACATTGAGTGCCACCCGAGTGTCATTGACTATCGCTGAGTGCCGGATGAGTGTCGTTGACCACCTGGTGAGCGGGTCAGGGTGTTGTACCCGGCATACCGACTGTAGTACGCGGTTCCTATTGTGGCTCGGCGGGGCTGCCACCCCTCCCGTTTGCAGTGTACGCCACGCCCTGGGTTTGGCCGACAGTGAAAGACGGCCTTCGTAGTAACTAATAACCAATGTCACGATTGAACTTTGGAATGTGGCTTTGCAGGCTTATCATGGGAAAGGATGGCATGTCTTACAGCTTTGGTAGTCCTAACGTACCGCTCCCTAATGGGAGGATCTGGCTGCCTTCAGCGAAGGCATATTCAAGGAAAAAATTGTCACAAATTATGATCGACGCCATTGAAAGCTTCTTGTAAATTGCCGCTGATACAGATGCTCGGTGAATATATGTCTCATCGGTTCCTTCACGTGTTTGAACCCGGGTGGTGTCTGCAGGCTGACATCTGGTTGCTGACCTCTGACTGCAGACTTTTCGACATCTGGTCATGACCAGGTCATGACCACAGTTGACCACCATGGTCATCCCATGCCCATGTCCACTGCCCGTGGACCCGTATTCTATAGTACCTACCGTCAGCTGAGCAGCTTTTTGTGCGGGCTGTTTGAGCCCCGCACCCTACAGAGGGGAGTTCCATCAAGGCCACCTGGGTGTCGGATCTCCGTCCCGGCTCTCCAAGGCTGGCGCTGCCTGGCCCGGTTTCTACTGCCCCGCACTGGAGCTATTATCAGATCGGAGCCGAACCTAGCCCCGCTAATGGACTAACCCTCTCCTAACCCCAGTCCCCTCGGCCTTCACTAGTTAACGCTTTCAATCAATATGCCTAATTAGCGATCCGAATAATAATATAGATTGGTATGAATGCCATTTAGCATCGTTAATTAGTTGTCTATTGAACACAGAAATGCGAGTTTGACCCGTGACCCACATCATACCTTTGAGGTCATGCGACTTTATCAACATCAGCATGATTTTGGATAAGAACTTTTGATAGTGACATGTTTGAAGGAATGGACACCCCTTGGTTTCATTGAGGTCGTTCCGAATCGATTGGCGTGCAACATGACCTTTTAGGTCAGGTCATAACTTGACATCGGGTGAAGTTTTGAAATGACTTGGGTAAATCTATATAAAAGTAAATCTTCCAAAGCTGACGTGTACTTGAGTCTTGACATTAACCCGCGCCCCGCTGGGGTTCCTGGATTTCCACGCCTTGCTGGGGAGGGGTTGTTTGAACACCCCCCCCCCCTTCTAACTCGGGTCCTAGGCCACGTAGTGATACCTACGGGGAAGCGGTGTTCGAAAGAGCGTCAAAAATAATGACGAAATTACATCAGTCACTTTTTTGGTCAGGTCACCAGAGGTGAAATGCCAAATTTCGCCGATTTTCAGGTCGAATATCAATTTTCCACAAACCGGCACATAACTCGGAAACCAATAGAGCTACAACTCCCCGAAAAAGCGCATTTGATAGCCCTATTAACCCGCGCCCCACTGGGGGGGGCTATTTATAGCCCCCCCTCCCGTTTTTCTGCAATAACTTCCAAACCGCTTGACGTATCGACGCCAAACTTTCAGTACCTTCGACTGCATCAATTTGACACCTTGTGTCAAAATTTGAATTTCGTACCTACCATAGGTCGGCCGGAAATGACGTCAGAGTGACGTCATGTTCGGCCGATTTCGACGCAAAACATTGAACCACGGCAATCGCTCCCAAGAGCTCAGTTTTTAAGCTAGATCCAATTTCTTTGCATGAGAGGACTCAGAATAGACTGCGCTATCAAACTGCTATCTCGGATTTTCGAAATTGTGAAAATTTCGAAAATTTTATATAATAAAATTCAAAATTTATATTTTTACATTTTTTTCAAAATTTTTTTGACTTTTCAAAAAAAACGGAATATATGTGATAGAACGCATTATTATGACTAACTCTAGCAAGTTTTAGCTAAATATCTTCAAAAATGGCCAAGTTATACGCATTATTGCAAAAAATTAACAATTATCAATTTTTCAAATCAATTCTTCAGCACCAATTTGACATCGTACGCCAATATAAATAGCACCATCGTGCTCCTGAGCTCAAACTGCGTCCAATAGACACCTTTTTTGTTGAAAAATTTTAACTTCAAAATTTGACCTTTTTTGACCTGAAAGTGACCTGACCTAAGCTAAATTTGACTCAAAATGACCTCGAATGACACAGACGACATCAAATTCGAAACGTTTGGCCTAAATGGACCATAAAACATGTGTCACGTGACCGACGGATGATATAATATTTTAGTGACCTGTGATGACCTGACCTTGACCTGAAAATCAAAGTACAAGTTTGGTACCCTCAGAGTATCTAGAACATCTGTTCACGAGTGTGTGAACCAAAAATAAGCCTGATCTGACTTGTAAGACGGCGGCCAGAGCCCAAAACGTGAAGAAGCCAAAATGCTAATATTTTTTACTTTGACCTGACCTGTGACGTCATCGGTGACCTCGAGGTCAATGAAATTAGGTTTCGCTCGACAGTTTTTCCGGGGCTATCAGACGCCGTTTGAATTTTGACGATCGGCCCAGTAGTTTTGGAGTTAGGAGGGGGGCTATGAATAGCCCCCCTCCCCAGTAGGGCGTGTTATACGCAGACCCCAGTGGGGCGCGGGTTAACGTTCTTTCTGACTACTCCTCTCAGGTTTGACCTTAGGTCAACAGTTTTGCCTAGGGGACAAAAGCTACCAAAGTAGACGATTTTTCGTTTTTTTTCTGCAATAACTTTTGCCTCAAACCTTGCACAAGCTTACTTTAACCGGCATCGTGTTTCTTCGTAAAGACGCATCAAATGAACTATAGGTATAATTTGACCATGGAAGGTCAACTTGAAAGTTTGACCTCAGGTCAAGGTCATGACCTGACCGGAAAGGGTCATGCTGCATATCAGTCGATTCGTATCGTTGAACTGAAGTGAACACATCTAAGGTGTTTTCATCAATCATCGCTTTAGCATGCCTCTATCAAAAGTTATTCGCGTAAAACAGTTCGATACCATTCGTGACGGGAGATTATCTGAGGGACATAAAGAGGGGTCACGGATGCCATTTTCCAGTTCAATGTGTTATGTTTGTTCAACTTTTAATTCGGTGTTTGAGAGCGTTTGAAATAACATTCGTCCAAAACAGGCGCCTTTCAATTTTCTCCCATTGACTTAAGGTCTGGCTACACTATGCGTTTTCTGCGTGCATTTTTTGCGAGTTTGCGTGATTTGCGGAATATCGTTCTAGAAAGAAACAACATTGCGTTTTTGTTATGTTTTTCATATAAATTTTTAATTTATATAAACGTTTTATTAAATTTTATATAAATATTAACCCGCGCCGGGCCGGTGCTCTGAGATTCCGTTATACTTATAACTTTTTTCTAGAACGATATTACGCAAAACACGCAAACTCGCAAAAAACGCACGCAGAAAACGCATAGTGTAGCCAGGCCTTTATACCTAACGGAGAGTTCGCGAAAATGACCTGACCTGAGGTTACCGATATCAAAATTCCGAGAGTAGCATTTTGTACGTTTTGTTGCTGTTATCATTAGCTGGAAGTTTCAAAGTGATCGGCCACTCGGTGTAGCTATAGCCTACATTGAAGCAATTTTATGACTATCGCTAACATGTCCTCATTTTTTTACCTCAGGACGTGAACGATTTGGCCTTAAGCCCGCGCCGTGCTGGTGGCCTGAACTTTCCGCCGAGTGCGGGGGGGGGGGGCGGGGCGTTTTCACGCCCCCACCCCCCACCCCCTCCCAGTCTAACTCGACTCCTGAGTCCTGGGCCACGTAGCGACACACGGTAAGCGGCAATCGAGAGAGCGTAAAGAGTAAGGAAGAAGGAAGAAACACTTCAGTCATCTTTAACCCTCGCTGAAACAGGCCATTTTGCATCCTTCGACGGCACAAGCGTAGTACGACCTCCAAAGTACGACTTTTTTTTTGTTAATAAAATCAAAACAATATAATTAAACTAACAGTTAAGTTTGAACTTATCCTCGACATCAAAAATGTAAAAACCGAAAAGCATTTTAAAAACGGTGAGCTTTCGACCACTGACCTTTAACAAACCATCTCGATAGCAAATTGCTTTCGCGTTGGTTTAATAAAGGCCAGTGGCCGAAAGCTCACTGTTTTTAAAAATGCTTTTCGCGTTTTACATTTTTGATGTCGAGAAAAAGTTCAACCTTATTCATTAGTTTAATTAATTATATAATATATTCCTCGCTAGGGCACTCAATAATGTTAAAATCAAAACAGTTTTGATTTTATGAATAACCTGCCTGTAAAATAATTTTATTTTTTGGGAAACTTGGGATCAACATCTAAAATGTCATCGTGATAGTCATCTCAAAGAGAAAGAATTGCACACATGCTTTTTGTTGCGTCTTGTCTGTTCGACACGTTTCAAATTTTCGAGATTTTTAAGGAAAACTGGTGTTTTATCAAAACCATCAAAACCATGCTAATAGATTTCTATCAAATTTTCAGGGAAGACCTCAAACTGATATATACTTAATAAGGTGCTGAAATTTAAGAATAGCTTGCTTGGCGCGTTTAGAAGATATAAGCGAAATTAGTACGCAAGGGGGCCTATTCTGTCCTCTTCCCCCCCCCCCCCAGCAGGGCTTGGGAAAAGGTCTCGGCTACTTTTTCTCAGATTTGACCTGAGGTCAAAAGTTTGGTCTTCGCAAGCCGAAAATTGGCACGATACATAACTGCTAAACATTGACACAAAGCTTTCGTAACAACGAATTTACCAGCATGGGGTCTGTTCTTATACAATATACATACGTGAAATGACTAACTGCAACATTTGACCCTAGATTGACTTGTATTTGGCTAAATCGAAAAACTGCTGGTGACCATTTAGGCATATCATGTGTTATAAGTTACGAGTCAATGCAGACTTTGTTAGCTGGTATGCGCCCAGAGGTAATCAACTCAGAGTACTTTCAATGTTCTCACCGGCCGATTCGTTTCAGGGTTGAGTAAGAATCAGATCACGTCTCACGACCTTTTCCGCATTGAAAGCTTGGCTTCGTTTTCCAACCACACCCAGACGGGCAAACCAGGCAGGGCAAACCCTCGCCCTCGTAAGATACAATAGCTTTCTACGTCAAAGTGCAAACTCAGCTAATTTGAAAGTCAGATTAAGTATACGTCATCACTGGATGTGAATAAAACAATGAGCCAGCCGATGCAGTGCAATGGCTGCATGTAAAACTTTTGCGTAAAAACGTCTGACTGGTTCTCATTGCAGCGTGCAATCCGCGTTACCTAAGGTTCTGGTCACATTGCGGCTATGTTTCTCACACTCTCCCTTTACGAATTGCGGTGAGCATTGGCGGAAAGGCATCGCCACGAGCAGC